CGTAGGTAAATAGTACTTCAGGTGTTATAAAAGTGTCATACTCATTTCTAACTGTGCAACAGAGGCAGGTCTTTTCTTTTTAAGTACAAAAGGAGCATTTATCTTCTTGAAAAATGAGATGCTCTTGAAATGTTGATTGTGCTACCTGAGTTTAAGATCTTGACCGATTTACGATCCCCGAAGGCTTCTTGGCCGGTTTTGTGTCCCATTACTTTTTGTTAAATGTGTACAATTTGATACGCATTCCAGTTGTCGGACAATGAAAACAGCTTAGGTTGTTATGGGAACGCAATTGAACGATGAACTACTGTAGAATTAGACGTACTTTTCCACCAATTATTTAAGGTATCTTAACAACTTACTTTGACTTTATTGTTGTAATAATAAATGGCAGTAAAAATGACGATGTTGCTACTAATTACATTTGCCCCTACAATTTCTCAATCTTCAGTACATCACAGTTCCAGTTGATTTGGCTATACGAAATATTACCAAGGGAGGACGTGTCTGTTAGAAGGCCAAATTTTTGTTTGAATCGGATACAATTTTGGCTCATTTCAGCACAGTTTCAGTTTGTGGGTCAGAGCAAAATGCAATCAATAATTCCACTGCGATGCGGCATTTCGCTTACTTGCTAAATATACTGTTTAGTTCCTCCCGCCTCTCTCTCTATCTCTCGCTCTCTCTTATTCTATCTGCACTACGAGGAGAGAATTATGTGATGAGACTCAGAACGTAAGAAATTTCATAGAAACAAACCGGTGTGAAGAAGTTGTATGCTCTTTGTATATCCTCGTCGCCATGGTAACCATTATGAGAACTAGAGAAGTTTAAATTCCATTATACGAGCTAATTGTTATGTTTTACAGTTAATTAAAATAGACGTAAGTTATGGCTTTATTATTCTGTATATTTGCAGCAGTAGCTCATGTAATTATTTGTGTTGAAGCTAGAATTCCATTTCTTTTGATTATTTTATAACCAATGAACTGCTTTTTACGTAGACCTAAACGCGAGTGGAATGTAATGAATTCAAGTTGGCCATGAAAAAGGTCTGTTTTGTACTGTCGAAACTATCAGAGTAACCTCAAGCAAAAGTGAGCAGTACACATGCGA